AGGATTCGCTAACCAGTCTGGATATCTTGCTTCGGAGATCGAGCCGATCTTCAGAAGCTTTTCAACTTCGGCATTCACGGCATCTGCGCGATCCCGACCTAATTTTCTTCGCTTCTGCTTGATGGGCTTGAAAGATGGGTCAACATTCAGCTCGTGGCAGATTACGTCGATGCTTACTCCGGGGAGATCTTCAGCCGACCAGGCGAAGGTGTTGATGTTTTCCTTGAGGAATGAGATGAGCTCGGACTTGATCTCTTCGGTTAAGTCGCTGCCGATTTCCACGCATCGTTCAGGCCGTTCGCCATCGAGGCTAATGGAGATTACAGGATCCGATGTAGGCTTCTTCTCCTCGCGTGCCTCCACAATCTGTAATTGCTATAACTGTTTAGATATAGCCTTCTCTTCACTCCGGCCAAGTTTTGATTTCTTGTGGTCGGTCTCGGCCTTTGCTTCAGTGACGGGGTTTCGGAGTTTGTGTGCTGCCATGAAACACATCCGAGAATTCTTCTGACTGCCCCAGATCGTTTTCACGCCGTTGGGGGTCAGGAATTTGACACAGAGATGATATGTTGAGGCGACAGCCCGCATTAGATTTAGCCACGGAGTTCCCATTATGACGTTGTAGATGGTAGGTTGATCGGTGACTGAGAAGTTGACTATCTTTGTCACCCCACCGGCTCGGACTGGTAATTGGATGGTTCCAAACGTCATTAAAGTTTCTCCTGAAAACCCGAGGACTGGCCTCGGGGTCGGAGTTACCTGTGACATATCGATGTTCATTTGTCGGAGCATTTCGCGGAAGATCACGTCGATCGTGCTGCCGGTGTCGACTAATACTCGGTAAATGTCATGGTCTCTGATCGCTAACGTGATGACGATTGGATCGTTATGAGGCATGTCGAGCCCGTTCGTCTCGCTTTCCTCGAATGTGATCACGTCGTTAGGTCGATCGAAGGGTCTTGTCCAGTTGCTAGGTGTCTCGGCTCGGCGTTGATAAGCTTTGATTGCTGCTACGGTGTCAGGACAGTATGGGGATCCACCCATTATGGTGAGAACCTTCTACCGCGTACCATCTCGGTCCTCGTCTTCCGTCCCCCGGGTTCTTTTCTGGGACTCCTGGTTCCTTGGTTCGGGGTCTCTTCCCGGGTTGGTCTGCCCGGGCTCTGGTTCTGGCTCGAGGTCCTTAAGCGTGATGTTCGTCCCGAGCTCTCCAGCTAGAAATTTGGTTGCTAACTTAGCGCCGAGGCTTCGGCATCTCGAGGTATGGTGGCCGAAAATTTTGTGGTGTTCGCAGTATTCTTGATCATTGCTCGGTGGCTGATCCCTTGTCCAGGTGAAGGACTCTCTTCCTCGCCCACGGCCTCGGCCTCTGCCGCGGCCTCGGCCTCGGGGCGTGTCAATCTGGTAGTTATGGTATCCTGAGAAATTGCGCCCTTTGTGATGCGTATACGTACCGCTCTCACGCGTCTTCTTCTGGACCGGAGGTGTCGCTTGGGTTTTCTCGGCTTTCTCGGCTCGGGCGCTTGCTTCGACGGCTCGTGCCTCTTTGCTAGCAGCGCCATCTCCTCTTCGTGGGCGACAAAATCTGTGGCTCGGTACAGCGCGTCGCGAATTGTTGTCGGTTTAGACAGGCTCAATTCTTTCCTGAATTCTGATTTGTACCAGAGAGCTTTCTTCAAAGCCGAAAGAGCGGCTACATCTGTAATTTCTTTGACCTTGGCTAGCGTCGATTTGAAGGTTGTGAGGAAATCTCTTAACGGCTCGGTGGGTTGTTGAGACAGGGACCACAGATCCGCATTGGAGGTTCCGGGGTCGATGAGCACGGAGTATTGCTTGAGGAATAATGTCGACAGCTCGTCGAAACTGTCGATCGAGTTTCATTCCAATCTTGAAAACCACTCTAATGAGGGTCCCTTGAGGTGTTCCACGAATAGTAAGCATAGACCAGCATCCTTCTCCCCGGGCTTGAACCTGGCTTGGGCCACGGATATCACAAAAGATTTAATGTGACACTTCGGGTCGGTTGATCCGTTGTAAGAGTCGATTTTGAACTTTCCCAGATTTGACATCGTCGTTTCGGAAATTCTTTTGGTGAAAGGCGTATTCTGAGATTCTTCCAAAATTCGGTCGATGTTTGGTGCGGAGGATGAAACGCTATGTATCTGGGTTTTGACGAGCTTCATATCAGCTTCCGCCTTGGCCAGGGAGGCTCTGATCTTGCTGAGCTCGTCTTCTCTTTCGGATTCTTCGGCCCACCTTATGTTTTCCTCTGTTTCTTCGTCATCAGTGAGGTCGGTTCGCTCAGCGGAGTTAGCTCCGGCTCGGATGCGCTCGTCTTGCAAATCATCTGGCTCGTTTGTCAAGTCCACTGCGTCTGGATCGGTGGGATCATCCTGATTCTCGCGTCTGGCAGGGTCGGCTCGGGTTGCGACTCTGGTGTTGTCTGTTGGTGTCGCGAACGTGAGTCTGGTCGGGTTGATGCTAGGCAGATCCCTCTGGGCTCGTGGCGGTCGAGTCTGGAAGCGCGTGGTCTTTTGTTGCCCACGAGTTGCGATTTCGTCGATTCGCTGCGCCAAGGTTTTGTTAGCTTTCTCTTGGTCGTCAGCTTTCTTCTGGAATTTAACCATCATATCCTTCAGTTCGGCTAGGATCGCTGAGATTGCCGGGTCGGCCTGAGGATTCTGAGGGTTCGGAGGGTTAGGGTTCCCTCCTCTGGCTGGTGGCGTCTGACGACCTTCTTCGTTCATCGTCCTTTTCGGTAATTGAGTTCTGCGTCTTAGGGTAAGAGAATTCTAAAGTAATCCCCACAGACGACGCCAAACTGTGGAAGTCGAAACTAACACAATCGAGATTTGTCCAGGGATTTAATTTAGGGATACGATAAACGTGAATTCTCAAAGAACAACAGAAACAATTGTAACCAAAGATGGTGTTCTTGATCTTATTGATGAAAAGAGTAGTTTTGATCGTACAAGAGTTTGATCGTAAAGGAAAAGATGTTTGTGTTGTGAGAGCTTTGCGTAGTGTCAATTCTAGAGCGATCTTCCTTGCCCTCTGTGAGAGCCTTGAGTCTCTATATATAGGGATGGTAAACCGCCTCTCCAGCGATATTCTAGGAAGATTTCTATTTATCTTGAAGTCGGCTTAGAATATCGCGGATTTAGGACAGTTTCCTTATTCTTCGGAGTTTCTTGGAAGATTTCCTGATTCGAGTTGATCCTTCGAGATTCTTCTTTATCATTTCCGGGTTTATCAGAAATGATCCTTCTTTTTAGGAAATGATGCCTTGCTTGGAAATGGTGTTGAAGGAGAATATTCTACCAAGTCTTTGCCTCGGGCAGCAGATGGTTTTTCCTCGGGTATCCGAACCATTTGACGGCTCGGATGCCTTGGTGCTTGGACTGGCTCGGACGGCTGAGTTACAAACGAGCTCGGGGATATGAATGACGAACCAGCTCGGGTACCTGTTTGGATGGGGCTCGGTACTCGAACTTATTAGCTAGGTCATACCCGAACTGATTTAGCTCACTTCCCGAGCCGTGAGAGGGACTTTTCCCGAGCCGATAGAGAATTGCTTACGAGCCGAATAGAGGGGGGTTTCCGAGCTGATCGAGGGGACGTTCCGAGCTAGACACATATTCATCGAAGTTTGGCTCGGTCCTAAGAGGGGATAGAATCCGACCCCAACAACGCATTGTGAACTTAATGAACTTTTTGGTAATACGAATTTGACTAGAAAATTACAAGCGAAAATTTAGTACTCGAGTAGTCAAATTTAGTGATTAATGTCTTGAAAGAGAATTAGTCTAAATATATTTATGTTCAAGAACGGTAGTTAATTATTGAATTCCTTGTCTCATGTTTCCATTGTTCATTGATCTATGAAATAGCCTATGGTCCAATGTCCTTAAATCTAATTTATATGCATTTTTATTTTACAATCTGAAAACTCAAACAAAACAACTTTTAGCTTTAGCTAAGAACTAGTGTCGAAAGTCTTTAGTGTACCATTGGTTCTTGTGGATCAACCTTGTATATACTACTTTGAAGTTAAGTGTATCGAGTAATTACTCGAGCAATCAGTCGTTGTCATAAGCTATACAAATGTTTTTTAGTTGCTGCCAACAACAAAATTGAAGTTTTTGTTATGCTAAATTTGGAAAAATTTGATCAATTTACGTCCAAAGAAAAATATAATACGCTAAGATTCTTTTTGTTTTTTAGAAAAAAAAACTCTAAGATTTATGGAATAACAGTTATACTAAAATCTTAGCGTTTTTTCTAAAAGAAAAAAAAAATCATAGCGTATTATATTTTTTTTTCTGTATACATTCTTATTCAGCCTCAAAGGTGTCGAGTAACACTCTCGCATCCTCTTTTTTTTTGTATTGTTATACTCCCCCCGTTCTTTAATAAGTGATATTTTAAATTTCTAATATTGTTCTTAAATAGATTATGTTTTCAGTTTTCAATACAAAATTAATTATTTTTTTATTGCTTTTGACGATTTATATTCAATAATTTATTTTTTTATTGGTTGATTAGATAATAAATGATGTTTTACTTTAGAAATAAACAAAAATTAAATGTATACAGAGTAAAAGTTGGAGTGAGGAATTAGCCCAATAATAAAAGTAGGCCCAACAGAAAAAAACAAATAGCCGTGAAAAGCCTAAAAAAACTGTGTTAGATCCACATGTTGACATATATTCTGAAATACCTAAATTGAATAAACACTAGACGTATGATTTTTGAATTCTTTACGATCAAATTAAAAAAGTTTGTTCAATAACCTTCTAGTTTTGCAACTAACAATAAGATATTACAAATTTGCAATACATATCTACTGAATTTTTTTTCACTGATCAATTGTGTAGAGCATATTCCACCTATATAGTATATTCACCAGTAGAAGTATCTTATTTTCCAAGGAGTTTTTATTTTCATTTTATATTTTATATTTACTTTAGATTTCTGTTGATATGTTTAAATCTGCAACATATCTTAAAGAAAACTACGCGATTGACAATTTCAAAAACACATCCTATAAAAGAATGAGGATTCAGTTTCGGTATCCGATAAGATCCCCCAAAAATATATATATCGTAAAATTCTATATGCCCGCATAATTATCCATAAATAAAGGTCATACATGTTTAACCTTCCTCTCACACAAAAACAAAATCTAAAGAAGAGAAGAAAAATAGGTTAAACAAAAAGCTCCTCTATAAATTACTTGAGACGTTCTCATAAGATTGCTTTCTTAAACACTCAACAATGAAGAGCCTCATTTTCCTCGTACCTCTCCTTTGTCTCATCATTTCACCAACCACAACGATTGCAAGTTGGCCAAAACCTTCGGAAGTCTCCAAAGAGGACATGCTGATGAATACCGACCACAACCATTACTTTGGTAATAAATTGAACTACGAAGATTCCAAAGTCTGGAAATGTACATACAACAACGGATCTGGAGCCGCCGTCTCTATTTCCTACCCTGCACCTCCACATCCTCCGTCACCAAAGCCACCAACTCCGTCGTCTCGGCCTCCTTCACCTCTATCTCCAAAAAAGTCTCCACCACCGCCAAAACCATCACCGCCGCCACGAACTCCCAAAAAGTCTCCACCACCTAAGCCATCATCGCCTCCACCAACTCCCAAAAAGTCTCCACCACCGCCTAAACCATCATCGCCGCCACCAACTCCCAAAAAGTCTCCACCATCGCCTAAACCATCATCGCCGCCACCAAGTCCCAAAAAGTCTCCGCCGCCTCCTAAACAATCTCCGTCTCCTCCTAAACCATCTACGCCTCCACCAAATCCTAAGAAGTCTCCGCCCTCTCCTAAACCATCATCACCACCACCAAGCCCCAAAAAGTCTCCCCCGCCTCCTAATCCTTCTAAACCATCATCACCGCCACCAACTCCTAAGAAGTCTCCACCACCTCCCAAACCATCTCAGCCGCCTCCTAAACCATCTCCTCCACATCGTAAACCATCTCCGCCGACTCCTAAACCATCAACAACTCCACCAACTCCAAAAATTTCACCTCCATCTCCTAAACCATCACCTCCGCGTCCAACTCCCAAGAAGTCTCCACCACCGCCACCAACAAGGCCATCAACTCCGGCACATCGATATCAAAATCCGTGGGTGCATTTCGCGAGCTGCATTAGCGAATTTGGACCGTCGGCAATATGTAAGCAACAGATGGAGGTAAGTTACTACAGAAGAGGGTTTCTTGTTAGTGACTATTGCTGCAACCTTATTGTCAACATGAGACATGAATGTACCGATGTCATTTTGGGCTTCTTCACCGATCCTTTCTTCGTTCCTCTTATTCGTTACACTTGTCATGTTAAGTATTAGCTCTTGTTTGGTTTTTTTTTTTTTTAACTATAGGGCTTTTCTTTTCTTCTTGGGTTCTTTAGTCATGCAATTTTGTTGTTGTCCATATCTTATGGACTGCTCTTTTGCTACATTTCAGGAATAATAAATATGGTTTTTCTTTTTCTTTTTCTTCCTTTCTATGTTATATTATTTTCGCCAACACAACAACAACAACAACAAAAAGAAATATTCATCGAATGCATTCTCATTCAACTACTTGAATAAAATTTTATTGTCTTAAGGATGTCGATTAAATTAGACTGCGGCTAGCATAGGGTTCGAAAACTTCTATTTTGGTATGTTACCACCTTTTTATTTCGGTAAGAAAACATGTGTACTGCATTTTTTGGTTTGTTGTCTCTAGTGTTGTTAAGTCCGGCCTTGGCCGAGCTAACTGATTAAGTGGCAACTATGGTATCAAGTTTGTACAAGACTAACATCCCAAACCCACCTATTTTATTTTGGTAAACGAAACCAAGTCCTAACTGATTAAGTGGCAACTATGGTATCAACTTTGTACAAGACTAACACCCCAAACCCACCTATTTTATTTTGGTAAACGAAACCAAGTCCATAAGGCCCATTGGAACCAAAGTGGAGTAAAGTACAAATGACAAGGGTTTTCATTATGTGTTGGTTCTGCATATATATTGGTGTATCATGTAAGTACCGCATATATAGACTTTGTTACACCAACAAAATTTTTTATGTATTTAAAGGAGAGGAAAAAGAAAGAAGAAAGAAGTAAAAGAGGCAGTTTTTACTTTTGAGTTGGGGTTTTGAAGGTAATAAGTTTCCGGCCATGTCTGAGTGAGTGAGACCAAATTAAACAGAAGACTAGACATAGTTCATGTCAAAGAACCCATTGAAGCAACTGGCGCTGTCAACCAAGTTAAGCTAGCCACAACAAGATTTTCTTCCTGCGCAAGAAACAGTCGAAACTGTCCAAACCTGAAACCCTAGGAAACAGTTCTATCACAGCAAATTCAAAGATATGGAAATATAAAACTTTTCCTTCACCAAATAAAAACGAATCTTGATGCATTGGTTCGTTAAGAGATGCTATACGTGTAAAACATGATACATTAATTGGTTCGTTTCAAAACTAAATTTTACATCCCAATTAATGAAGAAAGACGACGTCGACGTAAACCGAACCAAAAAATAGATAAAAGACCCGTTCTCATTTATTTTGGGATCACTTAACTTCCAAAAAACCGGTCACCCTAAGAACGGTGTTACGGTGTCAACTCAAGTGTCTTCCTTGAAGAGTACAAAAGCAAACGGAGCCAATGACGCTCTCAACAAAGTTGAGCCTTAGCCAAAGTGAAGCTTTCTCCCTGCGCAAGAAACAGTTCCATCACAACAACTTCAGAGTATCGTGAGAGGTTCATGTGAAGTCGGATCTGAGTAAAATTTGGTGGAGAGCTTCATGATACTTCAGGCTTGATGATCAAAAGTGGGATTGTGTTTCCAACGATTAGTTGTTAATTTTTCGTGAATTTCCAAGACATTTGTATCGAGTAAATTGTGACAAGCTGTATTGTTTGGTTGAGAAAACAAGCTTGGTTTGAGCCCAAACGTTATACAAGCTTTTAGGATTTATGGATCTAGTTCTGGTTGATGGAAAACCAAGTTAGAACTCAAAAGTATGGAAAAAGAGGCAGTTGAAACTAAGATAGTAAATTTGTATAAATAATAAGAAAGGAGAAGTGAGTTGTTAATGTGAAAGTGGTATTTGCCAAACATATATAATGTTGCTTTCTTTTGTAATGTTTTTTAATTCATCCCATATATAATTTAGTGATTGTTGAGTTGATGCTTGATATTATCAAACATCATCATCATACATATCAAACATCAACTTAACAATCACCAAATGATACCATTACCTAGCTAATCTTGTCCGGGACAATCAGATCTAAACATTTATGTCATGAATCAAGAAACATAACAAAAGGAAAACTATGTATCACAAATAACAATCTCACCTTAGCTACTTGATGTTGAAAAACAACTTGCTTCTCATTTCTTCTCATTTAAGAGAAATTTACCACCTGAGCTTCAACCACATACTGTTAAGCTCAATTGCGGTTCTCCATCAACCGAAACCTAAATCCGTGAGTCTTGAAGGCTCCTAAAAAGTTTCAGCTCAACAGAGTTTGTTTGCCTAACCAAACATTACAATTTGTCACAATTAATTTGTTCGATACAAATCTACCTTGGAAACACTTGAATAAATCAATAACTAACTGATGAAGTCACAATCCCACTATTGAATCTATAGCCAATAGTACCATGAAACTCGCTACCAAATTTCATCCCGATCAGGTTATTTTTAAACTTCTAAACGTTGAAAAAGCCATCTGAGAACTGTTTTCTAGGGTTTATTTTTTACCAGTTTTTTAACCGATACACTTGTTTTTTTGCGCTGAAAGAAATCATCTCCATGGCTAGGGATTACCTTCAATGACAAAGCCAATGGATCACATGGCTTCTCTGACATGAGCTCTATCAAAATCCAGCATTATCTGGTCTCACTTGCTCACATCTGACCCGAAACTCGCCCTCAAGAAACCCCAACTCGAAACTGAACACCTTCTTGGTACTATTTCTTCTCCTCTTCCTCGACTGTTCTCAACACCACCAGTTCTGATCTATGCTGATGGATTCGCCACTGCCTCACCATCACCGTGGACAAGCTAAGTATAGTCTATTCGTCTCCATTGCCGTCGATCCGTTTCTCCCCACTACTTTGCTTTCACGACCCATCACGATCTTCTCTCTTTTCCCTCACGTAGCTTAGGATGATAAATTACTACAGCGGTCATAACATGACAAAAACAACTGCTTCGGCTTGCTTTCGTGAAATCAATTCTTTTTTTTTGCTTAAAGCGGCTCGTGTGTAGAACTTTGAACTCTCAAAGTGTTTAAGGATCGGACAACACAGATTTTACTCTGTTTTGTCTTACCTCTCTGTTTTGTATAACCACTCAATGTATCTCTTTGTTGATCTTCCTCTGTTTTGTATAACGAGAAAACCGCATGACTTTATTAGATAGTGAAAGCAATATTTATAGGTTTACAAGACACACTTTGGACTAAGAGTTGCATCTCTAACAGATGTCTCAATGTGGAGACACAACTACTCAACAATAACTACTTAGCGGTTACTTATATCATACGTATCTCATAAGTGATACGAATGATTTACATATTAGTGCTATCATACATTATATGACTCTAAATAAAACAAATATGAAGACTTGATCACTTCCAACACTCCTCCTTGATCATGGCTTCATCTTCACGCCTAGCTCTTCTCGTAGAGACTCGAACCTTAACGTGTTTAAAGGTTTGGTTAAGATATCGGCGACTTGAAATTCTCCGGGACAATGTTCAAGCTTAATCTTTCCTTCTTGTTCAGCCTCTCTTACGAAATGATACTTGATGTCAATGTGCTTTGTTCGACGATGTTGAACTGGATTCTTTCCTATAGCAATTGCAGATTTGTTATCACATAGAATCCTTGTACCTTTTTCAGTCTTGAATCCGATTTCATTCACTAGCCTTTGTAGCCATATGGCTTGATTTGCTGCAGAACAAATCGCAATGTACTCGGCCTCAGCCGTTGATTGAGCAACCGTCTTCTGCTTGCTTGAGTTCCAACAGCATGCACCAGATCCAATCGTAAAGACATAGCCGCTTGTACTCTTCTTGTCTTCCACTGAACCACCCCAATCACTATCGGAGAATCCCACCAACTCTGGTTCTTCTACTCGCTTGAACTGAATGCCATAGTTCAAAGTACCTTTAACATACCTTAGAACTCGCTTGGCTTCTTGGTAATGTTGCATTGTTGGAGCAGCCATGTAACGAGACAGGTATGAACTTGCATACATGATGTCTGGCCGTGAAGCACAAAGATATAGCAAACCTCCGATTATGCTTCTATACTTTGTAACATCTTCAAGGTTCTCCTTTAAGACTTCCTTCTTCTTTCCATGAGGAGTTAATGGTGTTGACAGACTTTTGCAGTCTTGCATTCCAAATTTCTTCAAGAGCTTCTTTGCATAATTTTCTTGTGACAAGAAAATACCTTCTTCGTTTTGGGTTACTTCCATGCCGAGAAAGTAACTTAGCTCTCCTAAGTCGGTCATTTCAAACTCATTCTTCATCTCCTCCTTGAATTGTTCAATCTCCTTTATTTTGCTTCCCGTGACTATGATGTCATCAACATATAAACTAACCACCATTATCTCCTTTGAGGTCTTCTTCACATAAAGCGCTGCATCATTGATGCTTCTCACAAAGCCATTCTTGATAAAA